ACTTTCCTTTTCCTTTTATCAAACTAACACAATTTATAGTAATCTGGTTCACATTGCTCCTCCTGCTTCTAATGCTGCTGGTGTCTACTCTTTTTCCTGTTTATCGTGTCTCCTCCAATACTTCGGTGAAACTGGCTCTACATTGAATGACAAACTTAAGGAGCACAAAAGAAGTGTTAAGTCTGCAGACATAAACATTGCTCTCTTCTGTCATGTTAGGGACTCTAATCATCCTATAGATTGGTCTTTTCTAAAATAATCTTTCCTGCCCCTACTCTTCACAGACGCCATCTTGTCGACTTGGCTCTGATACACAACCCACCCAACATGAACCCTAGTTCATGTTGCTGTTGTAGGCTTTGTTGCTGTTGACTCTTCCCTATCTTTCACCTTACTCTTGTCTTCATCTTTCTCTTTCATTCGTCTGGCCTCTTGTCTCACACTCTTCCATCTTATTGCTTATCTCTTCCACTCTCAAAAGACTTGATCTTTTGACATCTTTTTGATCAAAAGACATGACTTGATCTACAGTCCAGGATGGACTTCTTCATTTTCTGATGTACAGTTTGGATATCAGAAAAATCCTTTGATTTTGGGGGGTGGTCAGTGACCATGTCCCCCTGTCTTAACACTCTACATGACCACTGTATCTGTGGTTCACGAGGTGTCTTTCTAGTCTTTTGTAGCTTACTGAACCTCCAGAATGTTCATAAGTATATCCTGATTCATTTGTGGTTCAAAGATTGGTTGTTGGCTGTTTGCCAGACTTTCCAGGGTGGTTATCCATGTAGCTTTGTCTCTTTGGGATCAACATCTTGACCTACTTTCTCAACTGGATCATTTGTACTTGATACTGCAATTGGTTAGGCTATTCAGCATCACATTTCCAAAAATATGAACTGCTAATCATTTTACACCGAGGTCCCCAGGTTGTGGATAGATTAACAGGGATAAACAGGAACTCTGACCAATCATTTTTCCATGCCCAGGATTCAAACCTAAATTCCTATTGTTTGCAAGGCAGATGTACCAGCCTTTACACCACAAGTTAAAGAAATTGCTGAAGAAGTGAAGGAAAGGACAAATGATAGTTCTTTAAAAGACATAATCCATCAACCATTTTTATAAGAAATGTTGGAGGTAGTGTCAGGAGAATGGTTAGATACCTTGTGCTGTAACAATACTTTGTGAAAATGTAACAAATGAGCAAAGCATTCAGAGTGAACAATTATGAACACAACCTTATGAGCAAGAATCTCAGTCAAAATGTAAGTGAAGGAGATACAAGATTAGGAGTAAGGATAATATTGCACAGTTCCTAGATACTAGGAACATGTAGATGGCCTGGTCGAGGACCAGGCCACGGGGATGTTGAGCCCCGAAATCATTGCATGGTAGTGTCATATTATCTGATGTAGCAATACTGCTCTTGCCTGCACATTTAATATGGGAAAAAGACAAAAAGATACAGGTACTGTAATAATTAATAATACTGTAATAATAATTTACTGTTGGGGGATGCAACCCTACAACAGGATGTAACCCCACAACAAGCTGACTAACTTCTGAGTACATACTGTTAGGTGAACAGAAGCATTAGGTGAAGGAAATGTACCCAACCATTCTGTCCTGCCCGGGATTCGAACCCAGAATTCTTGATTGTGCATCGAGAATTAACCTGGCTGTACTACCGGGACCCTAACTTGTTAGGTATACAGTTTATATATATCACCTATGGTCTACCACATGTCCAGAGTACTTTTGATAATTTAAGAAAAGTACATAAACATACAAATTAATCTTTTTATCTTAACACTTTCGCTGCTCGATAACGTTAGTGTAGTCTTAAAATCAATTCACGCAGTTGACGGGAGGACGACATTGCCGTCCAAAATTAAAATATTTGTGAAAATTCCATTTATTGTCCAAATATTATTGGGCTTGTTTTAAAATGCACGCCAAAGTCTTCCTGTTCTTTCTATACCCCATGTGCTATCACTAAACTGCTGCATGGGTGACCACCAATACAGCGAGTGGGTGGCCAAATGAGTTGAAACGTGTGCCCGTTCCAGTTGTTTTACCTCAGATATTTTTTATTACTGCCTTTATAAACACAAAACAACACAAAAACGAATGATATAGTATAACAAATAATGTTGGGTATGAATAACAACTGTAAACAATGACAAAAAAAAAACTTTTTTCTTCACATTGCAATGTACTTTATCTTATTTTATTGGTAACATTGTTCTTCTATTTGACCTTATATGCATATATCCCTTTAGAGGATTTTATCGCAAACAATTTGATACCAAAATGAATGACGTAGCATGCAAATTGAGGCGAGAAAACTGTAAAGAGTATAAACATTGAAGTGTGCTCGTTCGCTCACGGGCAGCGCGCAGCCTACTTTGCAGTGTACTACGAGTGGCCCGCCAAAGCAGGCAAAGTGCTAACCTTCCACTAAAACATACTGTAGGTTTAAACATTAAATATTTGTACCAAATGTAAAGACAGAATTTAAGGGCTTAGGAGTGTTATATTAAAATCATGTTATAGACAAGAATACAAAACACAAACTGAATAATGCATTACAGTAGTTGTTTCAGGGTACGTAATTAAATTATTCATGAAGCAGGCAAAAATCAAGTAATTGTGACTAAACCAAAGCATATATATATATATTAACATGTACTGTACTTCAGTCATCGTTGACAGGTCTCAGAATGTGTAGTGACAAACAGTTGGTCTCTGTATGTAGTAAAACTGTTTCTTCCCATCTCATGTAAATTTAGGAAATAAGGTAATACCATACATTATGGAAATATGTATTTTGTCTGCTAACTTTATATACTGTTACTTGTCACAGTGCTAACTATTCATTAATGACAAATAAAATTTGTGTACTGTATGTTACTAACCACATCAGATGACCCTCAGTGTAGTAACAGTAGTGTTGAACCCCGGGATCAGTGTAAATTATGTTTTTGTAATTGTATAGAATTTTGTAGAGCATTGAAATTCCCAGAAATTGCACTATTTATATCCCGTATTTAAGTGTGAAACAAAAATTTCTTTTATCTGACAGAACTCAAAAAGTAGTTTGTCTGGATTTAGTTATCAAAGAAAATGTCAGTGATATACAGTGGTACCTCCAAAATCTGGATTATATCATTCCAGACCCAACCTGGATATATGTAAAATCTGAATTTTTAGAAATTTGCCATTTATGGGCCATTTATTACCAAATTTTTCAAATTGTTCTTATAAGAAGTGATACAATAGATCTTTCTGCATATACTGTATTTGGACACAAATAATATATCAATAATGGTTTTGTATGCCCATAATTAATAATTATGAAGAAAAAATCACTTACATTTGTTCACTTATATTTTTGTAGCACAAGCTGGTCTTGATAACACAGAGGCAGCAAAATGCACTTAAAACACTATGTCATGCTAACTGTAAACTTGTGTAGTCACCCTGAACTGGCTTTGAAATCCTTAATGTTAATTTATCCCAGTCTCTCTGCTAGAGATTAACTTTTCATCTAGGCTACAGTGTTGCAAAAATTGTTGGTAAGCAGCAGAACATAAATTCACATAAATGAGCAGCACATAAAAGAAGTTTTTATTATTTTTGTAACTCTGCTATTACTCTTTATTTGATTTACAAACTATATGATCTGCTTCCTGTATTTAAAAAAATGTTAGAAACAGAACTACTAATAATGCTAAACAGTACACCTGTGCTTCCACACCACGATCATGTTTTTTAATAACTCGGCCTTATTATCCATGGTAAGAATGTTCCTCTCAGGAACATGTAGATGACCTGGTCGAGGACCAGGCCACAGGGATGTTGAGCCCCGAAATCATTGCATGGTAGTGTCATATTATCTGATGTAGCAATACTACTCTTGCCTCACAACATGGATTAAACTCTATAATGATGATAATATTTTAAAAGAGAAGCAAATGAAAGATGCGTGAATAACGAGAGGTCAGACCATGCTCTTACACAAGGAAAACACGTGGTAGGTACAGGTGCCATCAGAATAAGTCTGATTGCCTTGGAAAAAATGTCACACAATAAAACTTGTTGGTGTAATTTACAGTACAGTGCTAGGTTAGGAAAATATTTTTTGAAATTTATATGCATTATTTATATTTTGCATAATATTGACAAATAAAAATGCAAGTTTAGCAAAAAATATAGAAAAATGTGACTAAAAATTATTTTTACATGATGAAACGATGATCCAGACTTCATTTGATCCATTGTATAAAAAGGTCCGCTACAGGAAAATCAGGATTTGGAAGGGTGCACAGTATACAAAATTCAGCACTTTTATGATGATGAAACTATTGCTTATTGCATCTTTCTTAAATTACCATTGCTGAAAATGTACCTACATTAGAAACATGGAGTAGGCCTATTTGTATTAGTTTGCAATGCTTCACAAATCATGATTTCTTGTATATAATCTTTAATTGCAGATGAAGAAATTTTGTGTTTCATAAACTGTCATAATAGGAAACAATTAGGTTAAGTATTTGAAAGTTTTTGAAGTGGGTATATTATGTTGTACTAGTAAAATAATCTTAAAAGCTCAACAAAATATGTAGTTGATAAGCACTTGTTATCTGTTCTGTATGTTGAAGTATTTGTGTTGCATGTAATATCGGTGCATGAACACTAATCATAATAATTTTAAGTTTTAACCACTAAATTTATAACTGATAATTTTTATTTCAGTAACATTATTTGTTTACAAAATTTATTAGTTGACAAATTTCATACTGAAATTCAGGATTTTCATTTAATTTTGTTGAGGACTCAGTATTTTTATTAGATTAACACTTCATCTATTGAGTGTTTTGCATGTTTGTTGCAACTATGAGTATATTTCATTTATTTTAGGTAGTCCTGTAGTGAAGAAAACTAATTGCTCATAAAAAAGAGAATATATAGTAATAAATAATATCTTCTTCCAGTTATCAAGGCCAGTGGATTTGTCTCGCAATCCATATCATGAGGCAAACTTCAAATTCTATGATCAGAGCTTGGTGGATGCACTAGATGCTAGTGATCGTAACTGTGAAGGTTTCTTCCGACTACTTGCTCTTTGTCACACTGTTATGCCTGAAGAGAAGAAGGGTAAGTTAAATCTTATATTAAATTTTATACATAAAAGGCAGCCACTATCAATCCCTAACATGATATATAAGAATATAATAAAATAGAAAGGAATTTGAAGGCTTGTAAATATGTTGTGGCAAATAATAATTTGTGTCATCTATAGAAGACATGCAAATCAGGATATCATAGTTCATTTTTATTCAGAATTTCCTTTCTGCATTTAAATGCTGTCAAGTGCTTCAGGCTATTATGCTTGTCATGGCATATATGTACTAATTCAATGGACTTGAAACAATGTTACTTTTGAGGCTATAGCTTTTTCTCTTGCCATTTATTATTTTAATTCTTTCATATGTTTGAAATGTTTTGTGGCTTAAGCTAAATAATCAATTTCCAGTGCTATGTGTATTATGCTGGAGAATGCCTGTGACATTTAATGACAAGAATGAACATAGTGAAATGAGTGTATGATAAATGCAAAATGCAATATACTGGAAGGGAAGAGTGAAACAATATATGAAAGCAGGAGAAAAGAGAGGGAGGAAAGGGTAGGATTTGAGACATTGAAAGAGTAAAAAATTTCCTTTTGACAAAATCCTCCTCCTTCCCCCCCATTCTTGAGAAACTTTTCTGTAGTTACCCCCTGATGGGGAAACTAAAGGTAGGGAGGAAACAAGACATTGAGGCTATAATACAACCATTCCTGCAGTGTGTGGTTCACTTGGCAATTCTGGTACACAAGGAATTTGTTTTCTGAGGCCAATCAATTAAATGAGTTTTTGTTCACATGGTTTCTCTAAAGTACAGTATTGTAAAACATTCCTTGCACCTATCATTATTAATAATTCCATTTTTGGAAAATATAGTGGAACCTCGAGTGACAAGCAGCTCCATTTATGAGCATTTCGAGTAACGAGCGAGCCACTCGCCGAAAATGTCTCGACTGACGAGCTTCTGCTCCATTAACCCTTAAAGTGCGCATCACGTCATATGATGTGCTGGACGTTGTTCCAGTCAACTGCGCATCACGTCATGTGATGTGTTGGAGTACTACGCAAGATTTAAACAGCCCGCGGATACACGGGGTTCACTACACCTTCATCAGGGCTCTTGTAAACAGACGCCATTTTTTTTAAAAATCGTGGGCCAAACTCCCGGGTGTTATTGGCCTCAGTATTGAGTGAGCAACCAAGCCTGATGCACGCAGCATGAGCTAACAGCACTGATGTTCAGCTTGTGACCACAGCATCGCCTAAAAATGCCAAATTATACTTGTTCATGCTATTATGTAGCGATGATATTATTACAGAAGACCCCTGACTGATAAAACTGACCAGGGTTCTGATAATAGCAGGATTGTGGTGATATTTAGCGCTGTGCGCCATGGAGGGAGGAGTAATGCTGTGGGAGGGAGGGTGGTGGCGTTGTCTTCTGACTGTGTGTGGCCACCTTTTATTGACTGCACTCAGCATACCAGCTTATTGGTTCGCTATGGTGAACACAAATGTAGATACTTATATATAACGTGTGTATAGAGGGTATAAACAGCAAGAGAAGGTTTGGACCCGCCATTTTGGTGAGAGCGGTGGCGTCGTCTGCACGACGCCACCGTGCAGACGACGGTGTTGTTTACTGGTTACCACAATGGTCTTTGGGCACCATACCAGTTTATTTGTACAAGTATGGTGAATAAAACAGGTAGATATTTATATATAATGTGTGTATATAGCGTAATAACACCACACAGTATTGTTGGAGGAGAAATATTAGTGCGTCTGGCCTTGAGGGCAGCCGCCGATCAGCTGACTGTGTGAGTAGCCACATCTTTGTGCCTTTACTCACCATACAAGCTTAGATGTACAGTTATGGTGAACAAAACATGTAGATACTTATATATAACGTCTGTATATAAGATATATAGCGTAATAACACCACACAGTATTGTTGGAGGAGAAATATTAGTGCGTCTGGCCTTGAGGGCGGCCGCCGATCAGCTGACTGTGTGAGTAGCCACATCTTTGTGCCTTTACTCACCATACAAGCTTAGATGTACAGTTATGGTGAACAAAACATGTAGATATATATATATAACGTCTGTATATAGTGAATTATAGCAAAAACATTATTGTGGGAGGAGAATGTGGGTGAGTCAGATGACTGGAGGGAGGGCGGGAGTGGCTGGCTGGTAAACGGCGGTCACTCCTCGTTACTTTTTGACTCATAATAGCTACTTAGTGGTTCGTTATAGTGAACAAAACATGCAGATACTTATATATAACCTGTGCTTATAATGTAATAACCAACAAAGTATTTGTTCACTGTTTGATGAACATAATTGAATCAACAATATGCACACCATATTTTTGAGTACAGCGATGATTCACTCATTTTATTATATAAATATATCAAACTACACACTATTGAATAATATTACAGCAAAAAAAGTATGAAAAATCAATCAGAGACATTGAAATAATTCGGTAATTATCTCTTTGTGGCAACTCCGGCCTGACAGCTTGCGAGCAACAGACCGCCTGGGACGCACGCTGAGTCAGCGCCTATAATTTGCCAGACTTCCCCGCCCTATAGCAGGCAATATATGCCACTTACGATTTTTTTATTATTTTTCCCGTGATCAGTGAACACAAATTAACAGGTTAGGAAGAAAAAATAATTTTTTTTTTTTCAAAATGACATGCGCCTGTGGGGATGACAGGATATTAAACCCCGAGCATGTTAAGGGTTAATGAGAAAACCATGTGGTGCTTCCTAACGTTCCTGCTGGTTCTCGCAAATTCTAAGACACCTCCGATGATACAAATAAATTATTTTTTTTAAATATGCTAATGATGCTGGGATATAAAGGGGTAACTGCTGTAATGTTGCAAAGCATTGAATTTTTTTTTAATAAAAAAAAATTAAAAATTTTGAAAAAAAGAACAAATGTCAAAAAGTTCATTCAGGGTATGTCAGGCTGCTCCATTTTCTATGAAAAATAAAAAGTAAAAAAAAATAAAAAAAAATAAAAAAAAAATTGAAAGAAAGAAAAATGTCAAAAAGGTTCATTCAGTGTATATCAGGTAGGCTGCTCCATTATTTAAAAAATTTAATATTGATGTTTTTCAATGGTGGAACGGATTAATTTTACAGTATTTCCATTAATTTAAATGAGGAAATTTGTTTCGAAAGATGAGCGATTCACATGACGAGCTCGGTGCCGGAACGGATTAACCCCTTAACTGCGTTGCCTCCAAATGTGACACCCCCGCAGTGCGCAGGAAATAAATTCTCTGGAAAAAATTCTTTTTTCTTTTTAAAGTGTCAAAAACCCTTCCCTCAGTATGGGTATGTAAAAAAAAAGTCGAAATTGTACTTACTTTGGCTGATATGGGGTCCGGAAGTTTTGGCGTGACGTCATCATTCCCCGTGCGCCTGTGCCATAAGCTCTCGGGGGCGGTGGGGCGCTCGGGGCGGGGTGCGCGAGTTGCCGCGAATTTATTTTCGTTCATTTTTTGCGCACCTTTCCAAATACATTTTCATTGTTTTTATGTGCCAATCCAATGTATAATGAACACGTACACTATAATATCGCAGTAGAACATCCGTACTGTCCGTAGACACTGTGTTACGTGCATGAAACTTGTGTACACATATGCAGCACATATTTACTATGTATCATGCTAATTTGTGTATATATACAATTTATTTACACACTATACACTGCCACACACTATATACATTCACCATCAACACGTTCAGAACACCGCGAGTGAGAGCTGCCACACCCAGCCAGCCCTCCCTCACTTCTCCAACATTGTATTCGCCAACTTTGCCCCTCCCATCATACAGTTATTCACACCAATGTTTCATGTTCATTTATGTATATTTACAACATATGTACTCACTATACACTGTCACACACTATATACATTTACCATCAACACATTCAGAACATCGCGTAGCAGCTGCTTCGTATGGGCCAATAACAGCTGCCTCGTATGGGCCAATAGCAGCTGCCTCGTATGGTCCAATAACAGCTGCCTCGTATGGGCCAATAACAGCTGCCTCGTATGGGCCAATAGCAGCTGCCCCGTATGGGCCAATAGCAGCTGCCCCGTATGGGCCAATAGCAGCTGCCTCGTATGGGCCAATAGCAGCTGCCTCGTATGGGCCAATAGCAGCTGCCTCGTATGGGCCAATAACAGCTGCCTCGTATGGACCAATAGCAGCTGCCTCGTATGGACCAATAGCAGCTGCCTCGTATGGGCCAATAACAGCTGCCCGTATGGACCAATAGCAGCTGCCCCGTATGGGCCAATAACAGCTGCCTCGTATGGACCAATAGCAGCTGCCCGTATGGGCCAATAGCAGCTGCCCCGTTTGGGCCAATAACAGCTGCCTCGTATGGGCCAATAGCAGCTGCCTCGTATGGGCCAATAGCAGCTGCCTCGTATGGGCCAATAGCAGCTGCCCCGTATGGGCCAATAGCAGCTGCCCCGTATGGGCCAATAGCAGCTGCCCCGTATGGGCCAATAACAGCTGCCTCGTATGGGCCAATAGCAGCTGCCCCGTATGGGCCAATAGCAGCTGCCCCGTATGGGCCAATAGCAGCTGCCGCGTATGGGCCAATAGCAGCTGCCTCGTATGGGCCAATAGGAGCATTTGGCCATGAACACATTCAGAACACCTCGAGTGAGAGCAGCCACACCCAGCCAGTCTCCCTCACTCCAACATCTTACTCGCCAACATTGCTCCTCCCACCATATTGCTATAGTTCTTATTACACATGTTCTATATACCTATCTACATGTTTTATTTACCAGAGCTATGCAAGTAAGCCAGTATTGTGTCCAAACAGTACAGTGGCCACCATACACTGCATGAAAAATCACACAGCAGACGACGCTACAATTACGTCACCTCCCTCACCAAAATAGCTCCTCTCAACATTCTCCTGTTGCTGTTCTTACACTATATACACACACACACCATATATACCCATGTACATATGTGTTGCCCATAGCAAACTACTAAGCTAGTATGGTGAGCAAAACAAGAGTGGCAGCCACACACACACAATGAGGCTACCTCAATTCTCGCCCTCCCTCCCTCATCAAAATTCCTCCTTCCACAATACCACGCACAACGCTAATTATAACCACAATCCTGCTATTATCACAATCCTGGTCACTAATTCCTGTAAATGAATAATTGACCGTAGATAGGGGCCTCGTAGCCTGGTGAAGGGGCCTCGTAGCCTGGTGGATAGCGCGCAGGACTCGTAATTCTGTGGCGCGGGTTCGATTCCCGCACGAGGCAGAAACAAATGGGCAAAGTTTCTTTCACCCTGAATGCCCCTGTTACCTAGCAGTAAATAGGTACCTGGGTGTTAGTCAGCTGTCACGGGCTGCTTCCTGGGGGTGGAGGCCTGGTCAAGGACCGGGCCGCGGGGACACTAAAGCCCCGAAATCACCTCAAGATAACTCAAGAAGATAACCACACGTTTATTTTGAAAAGGAACCTAAGAAATCATTTGAAGATTCCTAGATGAACGAAATAATGCTGTGGTGCTGTGGCTAGCGCTGTGAACATCGTGAACAGCATTGAATCACTGATATTTGAACATTGTACCCAGTCATTATCACACTCAGGCTCTAATATAACACTATCATAGCTAAATAATACAAGTTATATATATATTTTGACATTATTAGGCGATGCTGTGGTCACATGCTGAACAGCAGTGCTGTGCGCACATGCTGAACAGCAGTGCTGTGCGCTCATGCTGAGAGCGCCAGCCTTGGTTGCTCACACACTACTGAGGCTCCCACACCCGGGAATGTGGACCACGATTTTTTTTAAAGATGGCGTCTGTTTACAAGAGCCCTGAGGAAGCTGATGTGAACCCCATGTAGCCGCGGGAGTTTTGAATGGAACGTGAAAAATACAAATACTCGGAGGCGCATTGCGCAAACCAGACGTGAGCCTGCAGGCGCGTTGCGCAGTTTAAGGGTTAAATTCGTTAATCAAGGCTCCTCTGTAATTATGCAACACCTTATGAGGGGATGAATTCATAGACATTAGGCATGTATCTAAACAATGCATTTTACATTTGGAATCCTTTATATTCATGCCATAAAATTAGTTTCGGAACTTATTGTTCAGAATTTTTAACCAAACCTATTAATTTCAGGGAGTGCCTCCTTGGTAGTCCCCAAAATTAAGCACTTGTATAGCCAAGCCTTTAGAACATGCACCAGGCTTCTGAGACTCACAATGATCTATCAGGATGAGAGTCTAGCTCACTCTATGAGATGAAGGGAACCTGAGGATCAAAGATTTATCCAAAACAAGCAACTGCTTAAAGAAAAATGGGAAACAAAGTAACTAAGTCAAGCTAGTGTTGTCTGTGGAAAACTGTGTTGCACCCCCTCCATCAACAGATAGTGGTATAGGTGCTTGGAGGTTTCCTGGCTTTGTCTCTTTACATTGAATGGTTTTGTCTTTTTGATCTGGTCCCAGGGATTTTCTCTAACCATGACTTCAGTTTCAGTTGCATGTTTTGTATGTGGTATGTATTATTTCTCCAGGGTCCATTTCCATGGCTTTCTGGCCTTTGGTCCTGGACCTCAGTCCCATGATGATTGCCCTAGGCCAGGGTTTTTAGCCCTCTTGTTTACTGGCTGGTTCCCGAGTCTGTGGGACCTGGGTTTCTGGTCCTGATGCCAAGTTATTTTAGGGTGTGGGTTCCTAATGCCCTCCCATGGACTCGGGTTGTTTGGTTTTCCAGCTACTGTTAGCCAAAGGACATTATTTCTCTCTTGGTTGGGGTTCTAATCCTTTGGGCTGGCAGCCTCATTTCCTGCTTTTGGAGTTGGCAGCTAGACCAACTGTCTTAGGGCAATTTGTTTCCTTGCATCAGCTGAGACTCAGCCAGTGTACTGCTTGTGGAGTCCTTTTAAATATTTTCTTTGGGCCAATTAATTTGGTTGAGATTCTTTCCCCACATTTCTGTTGCCCTTGACCATTTGGCACATTGTTGTTGCTCCTTTACCCTGAGGCCTTCTCTTTTTTTTTATGCTGTCTTATGCTTTTCTTTATTCTTTATGCTGTCTTTTCCCATGAGTCAGCCTATTCTGGCTTTCCTGCTCTTGCTCTTTGGTTTTTCTTTTTAGTAAGCCATCCTCCTCTGCTGAGGTGCCATTGGGAATAAGGTCATGGATCTACTGAAGGGGCCCCTTCCAGAAATAAAGTGGTGAATACAGTATAATGATGTGCCCTTTTCTCTCAATAGCTGTACATTTCCACCCTGTTCTCTCTTCCTCATAGGTATTTTAGAATTCTGTTCTGATGGCTCATGAATAAGGTGCATGGCTGACCAGGGCCCCAGGTGACATTGGTTGCCATCTGGTAGTGGCTGGGCATATTACAGTTAAGGGTAGTATCCATTTGACAATGATTTGCCTTATTTACATGAGGGTTACTATTTTCCTTCAAGCTGATGCTTCTTTTGTTGCACCTAACCTTTCTGATGGATTTTTACCTGTTTGTTAGTAAACCTTATTATCCTCAGGCTTCCCGCTTTGTCTCATAGTGATTCAGACTCTAGTCCTGGATCCTACTAAGCTACAGTGGGCTTCATAAGTATTGTGCATTTTTCCCGGGACTTGGGAAGCTGCCGAGAAATCCACCCTAGAATAGAGTATTTTATTACATTCATCACTTGACTTTTGTATATGCTGGACAATATTATGGCAAGCTTATAGCTTTCCATGCTCTTTAGAGTAGTTTGAACCTGTGTAACATCTTTAAATTAAATCAACATTGAAAGCATATTATGTACTGTGGCGATGTCAGTGCTCGGTAAAAGCCTAACATATTTTAGAGATACTAAGGATTTTGTGCTAGAGATACTAAGGATTTTGTGCTACCACAGATACATAATACCGCAGTCTTGGCCAGCTATATAATCCCTTCAGATTCTTGGACGTATGCTGCAGGTTTGATGTACAACCTCAGCTTGTAATTTTTTGCAACCTATTCCAATTCATTTGCTACATTATTAACAACACTGAGCTGAGTCTCATTCAACAAAAGATTTATAAAGTTAAATTTTTTTAATGACTTTTACCTATATGTGTTAAATGTGTACAGTAGATCCAGTGTTATGACTGCTCACTTCATTACAGGGAAATTAGAGTATCAAGCACAGTCCCCTGACGAAGGTGCCTTAGTGTCTGCTGCAAGAAATTTTGGCTTTGTTTTCAAGTCTCGCACACCAAATAGTATTACTATTATCGTGAGTATACCTCTTGATGTTGGTAGTAAAAGTAATCTGTACAATGGTGTGTAATTACCAAAGTGCAGGATGAGAGCTATGCTTGTGGTGTGTGTGTATTCATTCATTTATATATTGTAAGGGTAGGGGGATGCAAATAATGCAAAGTAAAGGGAAGCTGTTTAACCACTGTGATGAGCTTCGTTTATTGTGACATTTCCCCTGTGTGCCGAAAATCAAGTGTTTGCAAAATATTTTATCTTTGCAAAATTTTACAAAGTAAAATTTGATAAATTCCCTTCCCTGAAGATGTAAATGTAAAATAAACTGAAACATTCCACTTACTTTGGCTGTGGGGACATGGAGAAGAGGTCGTGTTTGTTATGCGCCCCTGAGTGAAGCTCCCAGAGGTGGTCACGAGGGCCATTCAAGCACTGCGAATTGCCACAAATATATTTTCAATTATTTGTTCTATGTATTTCCAATGCATTTTTTTTTATTGTATATGATGCATATTTGTGTCCTTTACAATATATATACTGTAGAACTTTCATAATGTTCCATGGAACTGTGATACATGTGTCAGTAATGACCACAATGAATGTTTATTGGTGCAATATTACTTGTTCAAAATTCACTAAAACTACAATATGTACAGTTTCACTCATTATTTATACTGTAATACTGTATTACACAATACATTGGAGGGGTGACAGGTAAGCTGCTAACATGGATGAACAATTTTTCTGACTGATAGAAAAATGAGGGCAGTAATAAGAGGAAGTATATTGAACTGGAGAAATGTCACAAGCGGAGTACCACAGGGTTCTTGCACCGTTAATGTTCATTGTCTACATAAACAATTCAACAGATGAAATACAGAATTATATGAACATGTTTGCTGATGATGTTAAGATAATAGGGAAGATAAGTAACTTAGATGATTGTCATACCCTTCAAGAAGACCTGGACAAAATAAATATATGGAGTATCACTTGGCAAATGAAATTTAATGTAAATAAATGCCATGTTATGGAATGTGGAATTGGAGAACATAGGCCCCACACAATCTATAAATTATGTGAGAAATCTTTAAAGAAGTCTGACAAAGAAAGGGGTGGTTCTAGATAGAAAACTGTCACCTGAGGACCACATTAAGAACATTGTGCGAGGAGCCTATGCTACACTTTCTAACTTCAGAATTGCTTTTAAATACATGGATGGAGAAATACTAAAAAAATTAATCTCAACTTTTGTTAGACCAAAGCTGGAATATACAGCGGTTGTAGGGTGCCCATATCTTAAGAAGCACATCAACAAACTGGAAAAGGTGCAAAGACATGCTACTAAGTGGCTCCTAGAACTGAAGGGCAAGAGCTACGAGGAGAGGTTAGAGGCATTACATATGCCAAAACTAGAAGATAGAAGAAAAAGAGGTGATATGATCACTACACACAAAATAGTAACAGGTATTGATAAAATTGATTGGGAAGAATTCCTGAGACCTGGAACTTCAAGAACAAGAGGTCATAGATTTAAACTAACGAAACAAAGCTGCCGGAGAAATATAAGAAAATTCACTTTTTTTTAAAGAGATTGGTACATGGTTGAAACAAGTTAGGTGAGAAGGTGGTGGAGGCCAAAACTGTCAGTAATTTCAAAGCTTTATATGACAAAGAGTGCTGGGAAGATGGGACACCAGGAGTGTAGCTCTCATCCTGTAACTACACTTAGGTAATTATACTTAGGTAATTACTTAGTACTTCAAAATTGAGTGATAATTAATGAAGCAGTCCATGGTACACAGCGCGACTAAACTCTTGATGCACCAGGTACAAACAGATTTTTGCTTCCTGTTTCTTCGTTCTGTGTGCTTGCAAATAATGCACTCACGTACACCCTTGGCTTTAGTGCATGTAGTTGGTATGTAGCCAAGCTTGTAAAATGTAAGGTAGGCGTGAAAAGATTATAGGAAAAGATCAATTTGTAAGGTTGTCTTGAAAAGGTCGCTTTGTAAGGTAATCTGGAAGAGAGTCAGACATTCTGTAAGAGATTCGGCTATTCTGGAAGAGATTCAGCTATTCTGGAAAAGATCTATGGAAAACACCACAATGGAAGCCGCTAACACTGCTCACCTATGCTACTTGTATCAGATGCATCATCACCGAACCCAGAAAATTATTCATCTATGTATCATCTATAAAAATTGGAGATAACACGGGTGAGCAAGGGTGGCACTCGGCTATTACTGGACACGCTCGCTCGCTATATCGTCCTCATCTGTTCTGTATCACCTGCATCCAACCCTTGTGTTAGGTCCTTATTGTGCCTAACTTCATCAATATCATAACCCTTATGTTCTTCAAACAATAAGGTCTGAATTTCACCGACAGAGAGCGATCTTTGAACACCACGTCGGACAAGTGTTTGGGAGCCAGAGGCATGTGCGCCACCCATGGTTGCTCACTTGGTAAGCCAGCCAGCAGCCCTAAGGCATTCTGGGATTTTTTCCCTAGATGACTGCCTCTCACTGGAGGTCCCAAGAGTCCATTTTGTAGTCAACCTACCATGTGCGTGTTTTGAATGGGTACGAAATATTAAAAAGGTGTTGTCTCGATTGGCACAGGACAGTGGTTAAATAATGGAAAGAGATAAAAGTAATCTCATAATACAGAGGAGAAATTCAAATGACACACAAAATGGAATTTAACCCATGGACTGCGGGTATGAAAATACCCAGTGTTGAATGTAATGAAATGCCATTTTCTGGGATAGCCTCAGAGGCATCCTGAAGTTATCCAAACTGATATGCGATATATTGGTTTGGGGTCATCAGTCACAGGAGTCCTTATGCCTACCGAGAACCACAAGCTAGAACCTGGTCCCCTCAGAGGCGGAGGGAGCAATGGCCTAAGAGCACTTTACTTTACAGTATGTCATAATTGCCAATGACTGGGAAGGGCACCCAGAAAGATAGGTGAAACAAAACAGACCACAATCTGGTGAAAATTGTAACTTCTGTCTGAATATAGCAATAGAACGACTCCAGAAAGAACACAAGCAACACTTCACCCAGCTAGCACTCCTGCTTGTTAACACTACTGCCTCCCCTGAAAGGGAGGGAAGGAGGGAGGGGGAGCTGGCAGTCAACCACTCCAGTTCTTGAACGATGCAGACCACCGACCGGAGGGAGGGAGGGAGGGTGTCAGGGAGCCTCTGGGGCTCACCCAAAAAATGGTGTTTCATTGCATTCAATTCTTGTTTTCTGTGGGGAGCTCCATCGGCTCCCTGAAGCTAACTACCCACAGATAAGTAAAAAAGGGCCTTTTCCGAGAGGCGGCAGCACCACAGGTGTCAAGTCAAAGACTGACGGCTGCGACACTCTCCAACACAATTCAAGGCTAGAGAGGGCCCAGGACATTCACGAGATACCTGGCAGCCAGAACCCTGTTCGACATGCAAAACTCCCACACCTGAATGTCGATCTAAGATATCTTACCAAAGACAGCAGCAAGAGCAGCGTACTTCCTTAAATCATGGAAGGAAGTCCACACCTCTAACTTTCCCTTCTAGCATGGTTCTCCCTTCCTCTGATCTACCAGATGGAATGCGGAATTATATGAACATGTTTGCTGATGATGCTAAAATAATAGGGAAAATAAGAAACTTAGATGATTGTCATGCCCTTCAAGAAGACGTAGACAAAATAAGTGTATGGAGCACCACTTGGCAAATAGAATTTAATGTGAATAAATCCCATGTAATAGAATGTGTAATAGGAGAATATAGATCCCACACAACCTATAAATTGTGAGAAATCTTTAAAGAATTTTGATAAAGAGATTTTGAGGTGGTTCTAGATAGCCTATGCTACATTTTATAATTTCAGAATTGCTTTTAAATACATGGATGGTGAAATACCAAAGAAATTGTTCATGACTTTTGTTAGACCGAAGCCGGAATATGCAGCGGTTTCATGGGGCCCATATCTTATGAATCACATCAACAAACTGGAAAAGTTGCAAAGACATGCAACTAAATGGCTCCCAGAACTGAAGGACAAGAGCTACAAGGAGAGGTTAGAAACACTAAATATGCTAAAACTAGAAGAAGGAAGAAAGAGGTAATATGATCACTAAGTACAGAATAGTAGCGGGAATCAATAAAATTGATAGGGAACAGTTTCCAAGACCTGGAACTTCAAGAAAGAGAGTTCATAGATTTAAATTAACTAAACAAAGCTGCCGAAGAAGTATAAGAAAATTCACTTTCGCAAACAGATGGTAGACGGTTGGAACAAGTTAGATGAGAAAGTGGTGGAGCCCAAAACCGTAAATAGTTTCAAAGCGTTATATGACAAAGAGTGCTGGAAGATTGGACACCACGATCATAGGTCTCATCCTGTAAGTACACTTAGGTAATTACAAGGCATTTCCCTCAGAAAATCTTATTAAACAATTTTGTATACAGTATTTTCAAATTATTTACATTAACCTCATCAGTTATTACTTGTTATAAAACATTTCCATAATAATTCTATTTCAAAATTCACTGTTATTTAAGATCAACGAATAATATAATTTACTCAAAGTTCTTCTCATAGACTAGCCCAAAATTGCTTGGTTTGATTTCTCATTCATTTTAATTTATTTCTATCTATTTTCCAGGCTAAGGACATACCAGAAACTTATGAATTGTTATGCATTCTGGACTTCAACAATGTTCGGAAGCGCATGTCTGTAATATTAAAAAAAGATGGGAAGATACGTTTATATTGCAAAGGTGCTGATTCTATTATCTATGAAAGATTAAAAGATGGACAAGATAGCTTCAAACGTCTTACTCAGGAACACTTGGATGTAAGTTATATGTACACTTATACAATACTGTACTTGTATTCAAATTCAAATTTAAAAAAAAAAATACCAAGAGTTGATAATTAATACACTGTTTAAGCATCTATTGCACAGTATTTAAAGCACTTCTGAAATTAATATTTAACAAATTAATGTTTTAATTGTTGTCTGATGAAAGTAACTTGAATTGCCACTAAAAGTAGAAGTAAAAAGACCTAGAGTGGTGACATAGAGTTTGTGAAGTGCTGTATATTACTTCTGGAAGCTTTTTTCTGTGGGAGCCCCTACGGCTCCCTGGAGCTTATCGGGCTAATGTATGTTATATTAGACCGGGACATTAGCTAAGGAGTTTAGACCTACCAGGGACCAGCACCAGAACCTGGCCCCTTCAGAGAGGTATCAGGGAGCAATGGCCCTGGAAAACCCCCTTGTGGTTGGGGTTTTCCTTATCTGCCATCGACCGGGGTTAGGCACCCAGAAAGGTAGGCATAACAAAACAAACCCCACATGGTAAAAACTAAAACAGAAAACCAAACAGAGAGGTAGAAACTCCCTACAATCCAAAGGAAACAAGCAAACATCACACTTTACTGCCACGCCGATCGTCCGCATAGCCCTCCCTGCCCCGAGAGGGGGAGGGGGGGCCCCGGACCTCACTGCAACGGCTGCCTAGCACCAGTTCGTAAGCTAATGTCAACCGGGACAGACGCTTCTCTGGCCTCACTTTCCTAGGCGGTGTTTGCTTTCGTGGCGTTCACTTCGGTGTTTTGTGTTGTGCGGTCGCCAGATGTTCCTCCTCAGTACCGGGACTGCATGTGCTTAGGGACTTCCTTCCCTAAGCACCCTGTGAGTACTGCCCCTGCGTGACAGGGTTATTTTCTCTGGGGCGTTCGGGAACCATTCCCGTAGAGGTTCTTGCTGCTCTGCATTTGCCTCGCCCTTGGGGCCAGCTGGGGCTTGGGGCCCTTGTTTGGCCCTGGGTAGGGACTGGTATTGTGCTGGTTAGGGCGTCAAGGTGTTGCGCAACCTGCCACCTAAGCGGCAACTGGTTCCTGTTGCCTCTGGAGACGGTGTACTTTTGCGGGGTTTTTCTTTTGTTTTTATTTTCATTTGCCTGGTGGGGGTCTGCCTAGTGTGGCTATAGTTCCACTGGTAGTGTTTGGTGGCCCTCTGCTAGGCCCCCGTGATTGTACACGTCGCAGGGGTTTTCAGTGTTGTCCTCTACCCCCTTGTTAGTTTTGGGTTTCTTAACTGGTTAGCAACACCTTGCCCGGGCTTCCCGTAGTTGTTACCCTACGGGCCCTGGAAACCCCTGTCGGGGCTCGGTGGACCATTGAATGTGTCTTCCGGGTTCCAACCCGTCTTGTACGGGATCGTTGGTTGCTGTGCCCTTGTCTCCGGGTGACAGTCGCCACTTTTACCTCCGTCATGCTGCCTGTTGGGTCACTGACACCTTGACCCGGAGTCTTGCGAGAGATATTCTCTGCTTGTTCTCCAGTACTCTCCTGATGTTATTACTGTTCAGAGTACAGGCGGCATCCGTGTTGCAAGCTAGGTTAGGTTGCTGCAACACGCTAGGTTGGTTTCCCACTCGGATGCCCCGGGGCCGCCCCGTTTTGGTTAGGTGCTGTTCGCCCCTTTCCCTCCCTGTTCCCGGCTCCGGACCGTCTGCGGGTTTCGGGGTCGGGGCGGGGTTTAGTTGGGGCCGAGACTCGGGCGGTTTCGGGGGCTGCCCCGTTCGGGTTGGGGACGGAGGTTTTCGAGCCTGTTCCTCCTGCCAAGGCTTCTGGGTCTTACCAGCAGCCCTTTCTTGCTGCCTTTCCCATGGACTCTTCCTTTTCTTTAAGGGCGGAGGGCTTGGAGGACGGCTCTGCCCCGGGGCCTCTGTTGCGGGTTCCCGGGGCTGTGGGGGATGCCTGCTAGCAGTTCTGGGGCGGTTTGCCCCTGCCTGGGTTTTTCTGCTTCTGGGCAGAGTTTTTCGCCCATCCAGTCTGCTTGCTTCCCACTTTTGCTGGCGTGTTTTCGTATCTTTTGCGTCGGTCACAGCCCTCTGTTCTGGTGGCCATTTTCTTCTGCCGGTTTCCCGGCGTGGCCACCAGGGCGGCGTTGCGGTTTGTTTACATGCACCTGGGTGTGCAAGCGAGCGTCTTAGGTGAGTTTTTTACCTTTTTCAGGGGTTTTATTCTAATGTTTCGTTTCTTTGCTTTTATGGTGTTTTCTGCCCGTTTCCTGTTCCTCTGGGACCGTTTGAGTGTTGATTTTACACCGGGTTTTCCGTTTTGTCTGTTTTGGGTCTGGGCCCTTGGGTTTGGGCTCAGTGTCCCTGTCTGTTATGCTTGCTCCCACACCTTGTCCCTTGGTTTTCGGTCTGTTTTGACCATTTCCCTGGGGGTTCTGTCTGGGGGCTGTGCTTTGCCTTTCTGTGGTGTATCTCCGCTGGCAAATGTGGTGGTTTGGGCTCCCCCTGGTTCGATTCCGGGTTCCTTTGGGTTCTTTGGTTTCGTTCCGGAGGTTTCTTCCTCTTGGGCCCCCTTTGTGGGTTCAGGGGGCTTTGTTTCCTCGTGTGTGACCCGGTTCTGCCTTCTGGGGTTCCGGGGTCTTCCTGGCTTGCAGACTGATCTTTTTGGGTCTTGGCACATGTTGTGGTCATGCTGGGACTTTGGGGTTTTGTTGTCGAGGTGGGCCTTTTTTGTTGCAGTTTTGTGCCTTCTTGATGCCGTTTTGGTGCTTCTCTGCCTGGCCGGCGTGGTGCTCTCTGCCCACTGGTCGGCGGCTTGTAATTTTCTTTTCACGTGTGTGTGTGTGTGTGTGTGTGTGTGTGTGTGCACACATGTGTGTAATGTGTAATTACCTAAGTGTAGTTACAGGATGAGAGCTACGCTCGTGGTGTCCCGTCTTCCCAGCACTCTTTGTCATATAACGCTTTGAAACTACTGACGGTCTTGGCCTCCACCACCTTCTCACTTAACTTGTTCCAACCGTCTACCACTCTATTTGCGAAGGTGAATTTTCTTATATTTCTTCGGCATCTGTGTTTAGCTAGTTTAAATCTATGACCTCTTGTTCTTGAAGTTCCAGGTCTCAGGAAGTCTTCCCTGTCGATTTTATCAATTCCTGTTACTATTTTGTATGTAGTGATCATATCACCTCTTTTTCTTCTGTCTTCTAGTTTTGGCATATTTAATGCTTCTAACCTCTCCTCGTAGCTCTTGCCCTTCAGTTCTGGGAGCCACTTAGTAGCATGTCTTTGCACCTTTTCCAGTTTGTTGATGTGCTTCTTAAGATATGGGCACCACACAACAGCTGCATATTCTAGCTTTGGCCTAACAAAAGTCATGAACAATTTCTTTAGTATATCGCCATCCATGTATTTAAATGCAATTCTGAAGTTAGAAAGCATAGCATAGGCTCCTTGCACAATATTCTTTATGTGGTCCTCAGGTGATAGTTTTCTATCTAGAACCACTCCTAGATCTCTTTCTTTATCAGAATTCTTTAAAGATTTCTCACATAATATATAGGTTGTGTGGGGTCTATGTTCTCCTATTCCACATTCCATAACATGACATTTATTAACATTAAATTCCATTTGCCAAGTGGTGCTCCATATACTTATTTTGTCCAGGTCTTCTTGAAGGGCATGACAGTCATCTAAATTTCTTATCCTTCCTATTATCTTAGCATCATCAGCAAACATGTTCATATAATTCTGTATACCAACTGGTAGATCATTTATGTACACAATAAACATCACTGGTGCAAGAACTGAACCCTGTGGTACTCCACTTGTGACATTTCTCCATTCCGATACATTGCCTCTGATTACTGCCCTCATTTTTCTATCAGTCAGAAAATTTTTCATCCATGATAGAAGCTTACCTGTCACCCCTCCAATATTTTCCAGTTTCCAGAACAACCTCTTATGTGGAACTCTGTCGAAAGCCTTTTTTAGGTCCAGATAGATGCAGTCAACCCAACCATCTCTTTCCTGTAATATCTCTGTGGCTCGATCATAGAAACTGAGTAAATTCGATACACAGGATCTTCCAGATCGAAAACCATACTGTCTGTCTGATATTATATCATTTCTCTCTAGGTGTTCTACCCATTTAGTTTTGATTAGTTTTTCCAATACTTTCACTATTACACTTGTCAATGATACAGGTCTATAATTGAGGGGGTCTTCCCTGCTGCCACTTTTGTAGATTGGAACTATGTTAGCCTGTTTCCACCCGTCTGCTACGATTCCTGTACACAGGGATGCCTGAAAGATCAGGTGAAGTGGAATGCTGAGCTCAGATGCACATTCTCTCAGAACCCATGGTGAAACGCCATCTGGGCCAGCTGCTTTGTTCTTACCGAGCTCCTTGAGCATTTTTTCCACTTCGTCTCTAGACACCTCTATGTGCTCTATGTTGTTCTCTGGAATTCTTATTGTATCTGGTTCCCTAAAGATTTCATTTTGTACAAACACACTTTGGAACTTTTCGTTTAGTGTTTCACACATTTCCTTTTCATCTTCCGTGAATCTATTTCCCATTTTCAACCTCTGAATATTATCCTTTACCTGCAATTTGTTGTTTATGAATTTATAGAATAGACCTGGTTCTGTTTTACATTTGTCCGCAATCCCTTTTTCAAAATTTCTTTCTGCCTCTCTCCTCACTGCCGTGTAGTTGTTTCTCGCATCTTTGTATCGCTGGTATGTTTGGGGGTTCGGCCTCTTCCTGTATTGATTCCATTTTTGTGTCTTTCGGTCTCTAGCCCTCTCGCAATTTCTATTGAACCAATCCTGTTTCCTAGTTCTGCATCTCTGTTTTGGTATAAATTTTTTTGTGCCTTTATCATATATTTCACAAAACTTGCCATACATCTCATTCACTTCCTTGCCTAGCATCAAGTCTGTCCAATTATACTCACTAAAAAAATTTCTAAGGTCACCATAATGTCCTCTCCTGAAGTCTGGTTTTTCAACTGCTTCAACCTCCTTATTTTCTTCCAGC